AACCAATAAACTTGCGACTGCTCGAATAAAGCGATTTTCGATCAAGTAGAGAAATAATTGACGAATATTATAATCGTTAATAATTATAAAAATTCCTGAGGTAATGAAAATTTCCATCGTTTTCGATAAATATTTCCCGAGATATTCGGTTTATCGAACGCGCACACACGGTGCCTACGTCTGCCTGAAATACGTCGTACATTGAAGCGAAGCAGAACGGGGTCGTTTTGACCTGTATATAGGAAACGATCGCGCGTCGGTGTTATTAAATTATATATCTAATATCGAGCAAGCGATCGAGCCGACGTTTATTTCTTCGCGAACGGGCTTTATCGACTATGTTGCGAAAACACGTTCGAACCGTGTGTCGGTACGCCCGACACGTAACCCATAAGAGATTTCGGCAACATCGAACCGCGAAAAGTTTGGATCAATTACGAAAAGAAAGTGGGAAACGCTTGATCTGTGATATTTACTAAAATAATCCCGGTATCCGACGAAACTTCTTCTCTTTCCATCCCGAGCTTTCATCGTCGAGTATTTCCGGCCTCGAGATCGTTTAAGCTTCTTGCTTCGCGGTGGAAAGGATGTCTCGCGATAAGACGGCTTTTCCCTGGTTTTCAACGAGGCGACATCGTTTCAACGCATTAACATTGACAGGACGGAAAGAGAGGAGGGGAAAGTAATTCTTTCCTGGTAACCATGACGGTTTTGAGAGCCAGTGAAATGAATATTCTTCCAGATAATTCTTATACCAAAATTCTACAAGAATTAAACGAAAAATATGTACGTCATAGAAAATATCGACGAAAGAATTAGAGAATGAAATGAAACAATTTAGGGTCACCGGTGACGGAAGATCGTTTAAAATAATTATTCCGCTGGTACATTAGCAAAGTTCTGTTGGGCGGTTTTTGCAGGCCGACAAAACCACCTGTACCTCTCGTTGAAAGCTATGCATATAAATCTATTATTATTACGAGAATGTGCCAGAGAGGGCGAGGAAACACCTGGAACGAGGTCAAGCCTCGAACGTTGAAGCGTATTCCCTCCGAGGGACGGAGTGCACGGGTGTCGCAGATGTGCGCATCCGAGCGGAATCAGGAAATAACGTCCCTCGTCGCGTAACCTACGAGAAAGTGAACTCGTTTTCGTATGAAATATCGGCAAAGTTTCGTGGCTTTCCGTACGTTTCCCGAAGGAAAGAGCCAGTCTATGCTTCGCTACAAAGGATGACTCCTTTAATTATCTGCCACCGACAGCAAAGTTACCCTCGCAACCAGCTAATTAACGTTCTTCGATCATACAGCGACGAATGTGAAATTTTCATGACGCGCGAACGATACGCGACCGTCGATATTTCCTTTTTCCTCGACACTCGAGCATACGTATTGTAAATGATTTTATGCGATAATTTTCAGATTCAATTTTCGAGCGCGAAAAGGGACAAGGATTTAATATTTCTCTCTGTCAACTCGTTGCTAAATCAACTTGACCGCATCGCGCGTCCTTGTCAGCCTTAAAATCACAGAAGTGTACAGGCATTGTTACAACGCGATAATCAACGGTGTCGAATGATTAAAATTCCGTGAATTTGATTTCCCAAAGGTAAATATAGGATAACTGACAGCGGTCGACCGCGATTCCATGCGATATTCAATGGAACGCTGCATATTTTTCGAGTTGCTCGAAGTTTTAAATAAACAGGGAACAGGAAACGTGTTGGTGGAATGCAGACAGGGACGACTTTTCGGTACGTAATTTGATTTCCTGGGAAAGCGAGATACGGTGTCGTTCCAGCCGTCCGATAATAGCCGTGTGAATTATTTCTTGATATCCACTCGGAAAAGTACCCTTTATCTAGCCAGAGTTTAGAGAGAAAGCTATTCAGCCCTTAATTTCGTTCGAGTTAACTCTATTGTGCGTGAATAAATTAAAATCAAAGTTCAATTTTTAAATAGCGAGGCTGCACCCGTGGTTCTATTCAGTATTTGTTTTTTCTACCCTATTCTTCTTTAATAAAATTGTCCAAGTTTTCATAGTTTAGATTTGTTTACTGTGTGAACGATAGCTTAATACGATTTTACAGTAAATTATTTTTTACAATCTCCTTTTTGAAAGGTTCAACCTGATTGAAGTTACCGAGCGTAATTTTCTAGTAAAATATTGGAATGAAACAAAGTTGTTTGGATAGGATGGGGAAATGTTCCAAAAGCAATTTCCGGAAAAATGAAACTTTAATATTGAAAAATTCAAACAAAATCTTCGCTCGATTAATTATAATACGTACGCGATACTTGTTTATTCATATTTCAGAATCTAGGACGTATACATTGAGTTTATCCCTCTAATTATTTTGGGAGAACCAATATTAACCCCGTGTGAACAAATACACGAGCCACCAGAAAGCAAACATCCCAAAACCTCCACTCTCTTACCTCAAATTAATTAACTCTTCCGAACCGAACAGCCGAATAGCCATACAGATGTTAATATCTCGTCGACGTTAATTCCCTAAACTACCCCAACCCATCGTTCCGACGTGCAACTTTATTAATACAGGATTACATGTAGCGTAGCGGAGGAGGGTTGGCAGGAGGATTTCAAGAAAAATTTACTTTACAATATTAATATTAGAAATTCCTAACCTGGCATCAATTCCGTGGAAAGTTCATAACTTGGTACTTACTTCGGTCGTGTGTAGACAAGTTTCGTTTTGCTACCATTTAATATATAACAATCTAAAATCGTACTTCGAAGAAATATAAAATTTCGAAGGTCAAAGATATAGAAAATATCTTAAGACGTTTACAGAAATATTTCGATAAGTTATATTTATATAAAGTTATATAAAAAAAAATATTTCACGTAGAGCGTTGAATTAGGAGCGATCACCGGAGGGTTAAACTATCCTCGTCGAGACTCACCCCCTGTTCAGACTTGTATCCACCCCCGTCGTTACGTCATCGCCGCGCCAATAACTTTTATCGTCAAACGAGCTCACCGGAGTAAGTGGTTTTTTCTTTAGGGGCCATCGCGATTCGTTCGTTACCCGCCTGTAGGCTGGTAGCCCACGGCGAAAAGGGATAAAAATTCATAGGCAGCCTCGTGGAGATGTTATCGTCACCTTCCTCGCACCCTTCGTCGAAGGAAACGAAGAATGCCATCCACTCGAGCGAAGAGAACGCGACAAGTCGAGGACGTCGACGTAGCTGGCGACCAACCACCACGGTACACCAGGGACGCTTTCAAAGTTTTTAACCTCGATGAAAAAAACACCATCTCCTCAAGAAGATGCATCGTTACAGGGATTATCTTTCATTGTTCGTTGAAAATTTCACGTATATAGATTTCGAGATGAATATCCGACGAAATAAAATAATGATTCGCTGATTTCAGATTTATAAAAGAATTTTAATTCCATTCCATTCCGTTCAGAGATATCGCGCAGTAGTAAAATCGACGGATAGGCAGGAATATATCGGGTACTCATCGGGATTAAGCACAACTGTTTCTGAAAGTGGATAAGAATAATGACTCTGACGAGAAGTTCGGGGAACTCGGGTAGAGATTTCGAGTAATTGGAGCATGCGTTTTGCGTGATTGCGCGGCGAATTAATGAGAATCCTGTGAAAGAGTGAAGAAGAGTGCAATCAGAGTTAAAGCGTCCAAGAGTCGGGACCGCTTGAAAAGTGAGAATCACTGAGTTAACGAGTTAGAGTCCGAGGGTAGGAAGAGTCAGAGAGTTTTTAATCGCATCACTTCCTTTTATTCACGCTGATTTTCATCGCGAAATTTCTTACGGTATATTTCAACTTACCTACCGACTCGAAACTTGCGACGTCTACGTGTTAAATTTTCATTCCCACCCGCGTTATAATTTTTCACATCCACATTTAACTTGCAACCCGTCAATCATCAATTGCGATTAATTTTCAAATTTTTCCAGGCCAAGTGAAGTTTAATTTACACAACTCACCGAAAGCTTATTGTACGAAACAATTATTTCGCCAGCGACTCGGAAAGCAACGTGCAAACGAAAGCTACGCGAGGTCGGCGTGCAGGAGTAACAGTTTCAAGAAGGAACAAGTTCAGACGAAATTAGTTCGACCAGCTTTCGGTTGAGAATTATTCCGCGCAAAAGACCGCGTGTAATTTGCATCAGGGGAGACGCGATTAAAATTCTTTGACCCAGTTGGCCCTCGATTCGTCGACGAGACGCGCAAACAGAAAATTTCTTTCCAAGATATCTCCTTTCCCCAATCAAAGAAACACGATTCGTCTTCTCATCCTTCTGAAAATTCCCGTCACTTGTTAAAGTATCACCACTTTAATCGATGAGTTCAAATGGTAAATGATGTAGGCATTAAAAAAAAAATTCTAATTTACAACCCCTTTCTTTCCATCCCAAGGAAAGGGCAATTCCTCCTTTTTATTCTGGACCAAAAGGAGGTGAACGTGTGTTATCCTCGTAACGGTTGTCGCGCCGTCATTCCAGGACACCATTTTAAACGATCAAACGAGGAATTCAAAGGGTAGGAGATTGAAGTGTCCTACAAACGAAAGGTCGAGTCTATCGGATCGTATAGCATCGAAGACAGCTTTGTTGCGTTCCTTTTACACGAAACAAGATACTGGAATACCTTTTGACGGTGTGTATTGACCTACCGAAGCTTTTCGCTTCGTATAGTTCAACTTGGTCAGTTTGAACTTCGTCTATTACGATAACGTATTGTGTCGAAAATTTCGATTTGTTAAAAGTGCTTTATTGTACGAAAAGGCTTTCAGAACCTCCGACATTGTGGCATCTTATTGATGCACTTATGTGTCACTGGTGTTACATCGGTAACCCTTTCACGTCGATATTATTTATTTCAATTCGAATTTATGGTAATGCACGTTAAATTAGGGGAGGTTTAAGTCATCATTTTGTTGATTTTCAATTCTGTAAATAGTTAGTCGTCAAGGAAAGGTTGTGTTAAAAACAATAGTGTCCTTACCGAAAACGCTTTCAGAAACACCAGACACTGTATTATCCCCTCCATGGTGTCTCCTGTCAAACAGAAGGTGCCAGTCAAATGACGACCCTTTCTGCCGATCACGGAGCAAAGATTTGCTTGAACGAAAGCATTCTGTGATCGCGTGGCTGCCGTCAAGGCTGGCGGGTGCGATCCAGCGCTCATCAGACGTTCCAACGAGTCCATCTCTATTCGATCTCAATAATCCTGTATCCTGTATCCCTGTATCTTCCTCGACTGATCCGTAACCGTGGATAATGGCCACTCGAACGCGAGAATCTCTCTCGATGGCCCTTCCAGTCCCTCTCCTTCTCCTCAGTGTCGATCAAGAGAATCTCGTAACACACGATCCATACACTCGGCGCAGGTAACAGGCAAGAAACATCGATACAACTATTCTCTCACTTCTCGAGGCTGCAGAGGAAATCGACGAGATACGCTAAATCGAACGACCAAGGCATCGTTTCGATGAATACCATAACCAGGCTACGCGCAGAGGAAAAATCCTTTCGATTCAATGTTTCCCGGTGCACGCGTCTTACGAATCCCACTCGAATTCAAATCCCAGCCAGTTTCATGGATCATCGATGCACCCTGCATTTTCATCCAACCTGTCCGACTCTTTCAGGCAGCTGTTCTCCGTTGCGAGCAGAAACGTTTTCAGCAAGCAGAGAGATATAGAGATAGAGAAAACTCACATGGGTGCGCGTTCCTTCGAAGCTGGTTAAACGAGAGACTTTTCAACGCGGTGCAACGATGCGCGAATAATTTCCAGGGAAAATATTCCGATCCGTGTTAGTTCCGAAGACACTCGCGAGGACACAACACGCTTCGAACTTGTACGATTCCGTTCGATTCAGCTCGGGTACACATTTTAACGAGAAAAACAGAAACGTTTCTCTGTTGCGGAAAGCTGTTTGCCGGATATTCGTCGATATTTGCGGGGAAACTTTCAGGGATGCGGGTTCAGCTACATCGATCGGAATCCCATCGATCGCGGCAAGTGCCGGCGAGCAGGAGATATCGCCACGTTTACGTCGTCTCCCTATCGATCGGACGCGAGACCACGCTCCATCATGTCCGGTACATTTGTCAAGGCGACGCGAATTCCGCTTCGTATTTCTTCCGAGTAGCCTTGTTATCGAAGATCACCGTGGTGCTGTCCGAAGGAAGGCTGATGGACGCAGGACACGTTTTATTAAGTTGCAGCGATCGCTTTGAATCGCGTAGACAGCAGATCCGATCGGTTATCTTCCTCAACTTTCATTCAACGTGAAACGAAATCGATCGTCGTTCGTTCAACTCGTTTATTCATTCAGCTTCTCTCGTGCGGGCTCAGCTATTATTCAGCTGGCAGACGAACAGAAGCCAGATCATTTCTCGAGGTGATTTACTGCGGGCAACAAGCCTGACGATTTTGCATCCTGTGAGAGATCGAGAAGACACGCTGCGAGGCTGGTGCTGCGGATTTCACGAGCGGACGACGCGGCTCGGTCGTTTGCGGCGTGGCGTAGTGTCTGATCAGCTCGCAGACCTCGTAGCACAGGAAACATATGCCTATTATCATGAACGTTTCCATCGTATCGATTACTCGGAGAACGCGTAACCGATCTCGTCTTCTATCTCCGTTCGATGAATTAATCGCGACACAGCACAGCACCAAGTTCTACGCGAAACGAAAACACCGCAATCCGCTTCGATCGAGGCCTTTCCTTTGCTCCGAGAAATGTTCGAACGATCCGGAATCAAGCATCGGGCTGAATATTAACCCTTCCGTTGTCCCACGTCACTCGAAGCGGCACGTCAGTCGTCGCGACCGCAACGAGCGGAGTGTACGGGCCGGTTGACGGGAGCGAGGTGTCGACGTCAGCGCGTCGTGACGCTGCTAACGACAACGATTGTCGCGGCGATACCAAGGGAACCGTCCTCGATTATTGCTGCCTGACTACGAGAACCCCGGCGCCGGTCCCGTCTCATCGAAGCGCGATCATCGTGCGTACCCCGCGGGTCAAACGAGGTGGTTGCACAAAGGGCGCAAAGGGTGCACACGCAAAGGGCACAGACACTCGCCGGTAGGGAACGGCGCGGCGAACGAGACCAGGTGATATTCGCGTGTCCTCGTCACACGCGAGCGATACTCGCTCGTGTGAATAGCGATGGTCGAGAGGGAGCCACGTAGGGGAGGCGAAGAGGGTGGAGAAGCAAAACACAGACCATGTGGACGAGAAGCGCCCGGAGGATTCTTTGACGCGTCCTTTCACCGATGCAACATTTGGCTCTCCCTTTTCCCTCGTTGTCGAACCTCTCCGTGGGATTCGATTCTAGGAAAACGGAAGGCACATTGCCTTCTGACGGACCGAGAAGAAACTCGTGCTTTCGCCAAAGTTCCGCTTTAATTCCTCGCGAGATTGAACGACACTAGTCGCCGTCTTGAACGGCGCACCGGCCAACGTGGTGCTGGTGGAACTGGGTCAACGCGGCACACGCAGTTGTCGCGATGCGACGCGAAAAACGTGCACGTAGCGAAGAAGCAAAGCGAGCGAGAAGAGGCGCGGTATATCGGCGGGCTCGCAACGGGCCAGCGTATGACTACCAGATACTCTCGGCGCGAGGGTGCGCCTTTGCGAGGGTGGGCGGGTGGAAACGAGGGATGCTGGGCGACGGCGCGGCCCGCGGCGCCACCCCCTACCCCTCTCTCTCTGCTAGCTAAATCCACCAACCCCTTCCTTCTTCTACTACTACTCCTATCTACCTCTTTCTCTTCCCCTTTCTATTCTACTCTTGCCTTCCTTTCTATCCACCACCATTCTGTCTCCTTCGACGCTGTTCTGCCTCTCCTCTTCGCCAACTCTTGAGCACCCGACTCTTATTCTTCTTCGTCTTCGCGACTCACTTTTCTTACTCGTCTTCCAGGCGTCGCGACGCGTCGCGTCCTTCTCTCTGAATTTCTCTGAATCTTACTTATTACCGAATGGATACCGCGTTCAGCTTCTTGCAAATAATTATCCTTTTCAGCGTCACGATAGAATATAATTAAAGAAAAAAAGTAACAGCCTTGCGACAAAAGAAAAATGATGGTGACTCTTTACACTTCTAATTAAGCAAATCTCTCGACGCCGGAATATATCGCGCACTTTAACATTTCACCATTTACGAGTAGGGCCAATTAGACCCGGGCGTTTCCAAAAACTGCTTACCGCTAAAAGGGTTGACAGAACGAGGGATGGTTCAACTGGTAGGATGCGTCGTAATGACGTTTGCTCGACAAGTTTCGTTACGGAATTTTTATACCAAAGTAGTCCTGAGAGAATATGGGAGACGGTTCTCGTGTAATGGAATAAAGAGACGGTTCAAAGAACTCGGGGAAATTCACCAAAGGGATCGATGTAGAGAGGTTAGCTGATAGATCTAAGGAAGATTAGAGCTTTTGCATTTTTATAGCGAGCTTGATGTGGTAGAAAATATTGGCACTTGAAGGATATCGAACACACGAACTGTTTTCTTCGATTTCTTGCATTTCGTACGCATTTCATATTTTTAACAGCATATTAACGGCACGTTTTTCACTCCATTGTACCGCACCGTACAGATGTACAGTCTTTTGTACGGATTTTTTTTTTATTCAGACCTATTCAGCTTTTAGTAAGAAAGAGCAAAAGCAGGCGTTCTAGCGTGACTCTGCTCGAACGTGCTTTGAATATCTCCTTGCTGATTGATCGCAATTTCAGATGTTCTCGTTGACGTTTCGTCAGCTGTTGATTTCGATATTTCATCCAATTGGTGAATAATAAATAATTATGGTCTTTTTGTGATATGCAAAAATTGTCACAAAAAAGGCTTTAAGTAAGTGTAATTTAAGGTCACTCAAATGGGTTGACAAATTGGTAGCAAAGATCCTTAACTTCCGACTCCAGTTAATTTCTTGCGGCACGGTTTTTCGCAATCTTTCCCAACTCGTTAATGACTCGTTTTTATATATTTTATATTTATAAAATACTGTGCTAGTTTCTATCTTTCAACGTAAAATTAACGTCACAGTTCATTAAATTAAACGTCATCGAAGTACGATTTTTCCTCTTGCGATGTTCGAACAAGACAATTGCATCGAACGACTCGAATTACAATTGACAAAAAAGAACCTATTGCAGCATGCCGTTCATAATGAACATTGAAAAGCTTTCAACGAACGAATTGCTCGAAATGAAGTCGAAGTAGATAATGGTAAACAGATCGAAACGATTGATTGGCAGGAATAAAAAGCACTCCGCTCGATATTCGATGCCGCTTGTTAAATTAAAAAATATTCGAAAAACACTTTTCAAATTGAAGAAATTCTTCGAGACGTTAAATCACAGTTGTTACATTTTCCTCGCTTAACGGAATAAAATCTCGCGAATAGAGATGAAAGATTTCTTACGCTTCGCAGCCAACTTTTCAATTTCAACGAGTGCCGCGCGGATATTACGTTAGCATCGTGGCTCAGTGATTACGAAATAAAAAAAGAAAGAAATCTCTTGTCGCGAATTCCTCGCGTTATTCTCCGTTACTTCGATCTCCCGTCATACCAATTTTTCTTTGTACTCTTTGTCCTATTCGAGGTTACGTTTCATGATTCTTCAGCATCTCCCTGCTTTTCACGCTTATGCCCCGTCGACCAACTACTGGAATCCACCGCTACTTTTTTCCTTTGTCCGCGCTCCCCGTTTCGTGCTTTCCGCTTCTTAACCATTTTTCTTCGGCCCCCTATTTGACCCGGAAACGGCCACGTCGAAGTAATCTATCAAAAACCAACTTGACTTTGCTCCTGTTTCACGCGAGCCAATCGCAATATTCGCGTGTCGATGAATTGACCCTGTTTTCTATTTACGATGCTAACAGATAATTCTACTTTTATCCGAAAAGTCGTAAAAGGGTCCAATTGCAATTGTACAATTTTCTCTTGTTTCCATGGAACCGTGAAGGTTTCATCAGTAAAAAAAAAAAATTCTCGTATCCTCTATCGTTAGCCTGATTGTTTTGAATGCTCAGAGAAGAAAAAAAAAATAACCAACATTCTGTTTCTAGCTGCAACTACGATTGTTTTCGGAATCCACGAGAGAAAAAGTTTCCGCTTCGAATACGTTTTCACCGATTATTTCAGTTTCCGTGCGGGGAAAAAAAAAGTAACTTCCCGTTTCCCGACTGTTACGGAATTCACGAAAAACCGCGGCTCCTTGTTCTACGTCGAAGCGAATGGTAGAACTTGCAAATTTAATTAGCGAATGTACGGGAGTACGGAATTCATTTTCTCCACTGTAACCGGATGTTGTAACTTTTCATTTCTTATACGCTGTGAACTGACTTCAAATGGTTCTAAGTTCCTTGTTAAAAGAAAACATGAAATTTTCACTATTCCTCGTTATGAAACTAAACACAAACGAATTCATATATTCGGTACACTTACACTACGTCAAGTGACAAATTCACAGATAATCTTGATAGCCGATGGCTCAGATATTTGCTTTCTCGAGCAACTGTACCCGAACAACGTTTCGCAAAGTTTCGCGCCAGTTTAATTGCTCCTTAATGAACACGCCAGCCTCGAAGAAAAGTCTCTCTCTCTCACTCGTCGAGTTAACAATCTCGCTTAAAGATTAAGCGAAACGTCGCGAAACATAGGCACCACTATTATATCCAACACACAACACGGTCCTCGGCTGAAGGAAATCTAATTTTAGAGAGACCGATTCAGAGCCGGTGATAATTGAAAGCGAACTCGAGAGCACGACCGTTTGACCGTACTTCATCGAGTTTTCCTTTTCAATTACCCTGATGGCCTACAGATTTTTGCCTCCGCGAAACAATGCCGGACAGAAGGATCGATTTACGCTTAATTTGTTTGATCCAACGACCGTTTCGCGATTCGCATTCACCCCGTGTGTGTTTGTACAAAATTCACGACGAAGTCAATGGGTGCTCTTGAAAAAAGCGTCGGCTATCGATATTCGTGTTTATCGTCGAGATTTCTATTCTGTCTAGATCCGTTCGAAAGTAGGTCTCGCGTACGTTTTCCACAATGAAAAATTTATTAATTTGCGATAATTTAACAGTAATTTAACTCAAGTTTGTTGAACGCCCAGTGAAAATATCCATATATAGTCAGACGCCTTGAAGATATGATTGTTAATTATTAAAATTAAACTCTCAATTTTTTAATTTTATATTATACCAGAAATGAAAGAGAAGAATAAAGCACTCGCATTAGGTTAGCAAGCTCTTTTTCATGCTTTTTGAGTACAAAAATGTAGGTCATCTGTAAAAATGCACTCTGTCGCTGCTATTTCGGCTTCATCCCATTCTATTAGCATCAAAGGTATTGGTTACAACATCAAAAATTGAATCGCGTTTAATATTTCTCTTTTTTTTTTTATAATGGACAATTTTTTGACGAAGTGTTTTATAACGAAAGGTTTAAATGAATTAACGTGAAATGTGCTGGAAAGCACATACATATTGAAGGATTCCGTCTTGGGCCCCGAATCACAGTAAGCTCGCGTAATTACAGGTAGGCAGTGCGAACAGTGCTTGCTGGTAAGCCGATAATTGGTGCCTGTTCGGCTCAGATAAGGTCACCAGCCCGTCGGACCGGCTTCGTAGGATCTCGGAACTTCCACTTAATTGCTTCGTATTTCCAGCAATATGATTATTTGCCTCTGTTCAACGATATCGACGATCGCTTCACTAGTCGTTCCTTCTCGTTGCTTCGTGATTTTATAAAGGTATCGCTTTGCCCTTTCGCCGTTACAAAAGGTATCCTTCCAAAACAGCTTTCCCGAAAGAACGTCCACGTTTTACTGCCGTTCAATTTTTCGTTCATCTTTTGACTCTTTACAGGTTCGTGAATCAGAAAGGAAATAAAAAAAAAAAAAAGATAGGGATGCATCAGTTTCATCCTGACTATTCGAACGAGAGGCAAACGAACGATACAGGATCAGGTATAAAGAACGATTCACGATTGAAATCGACTGTTACAACGTGAAAAACGCAACTCGTGCCAACCGTCGATAACCGAAAAGTGTATTCAATCGAAGCCGAACGAACGATAATTGTTAAATAACACGGCCAGGGATTAAGCAGACTGCGAACGAGTTAATCGAGTGAAAAATTTCCAACGGCACCGCCATCGATCACCTTCCTTTGTAAATCAGGCGAACTTTGCGCATACCGTGACAGCTTTGTTCCAAAGCTGGCCTACATAATCGCCAAGAAATACAGCCTTTCTATTGAAAGTACAGGAATATTTATTTCCCGTTAATTTTTCATTATCTTGTCTCGACTCGAGTATCACGTGGAATTAGAAGCTTTGTTTCTAATCAACAGCAATTTCAATTGAAATAAATAAACCAACCCTGGTGCAATCAAACTATTTATATTAAAAATAAAGTTTCGATAAAATTTTTATTGAAATTGTATGATAATATTGATCGGGTTCGATGTGATCAAACAGTTAACTATTCCGAGCATCGAGAGTCGCTCGAGGGCAATATATTTCTTGAAGAAAGTAAAACGGAGAGAAGTAAA